ATCTCACCAGACCGGCCAGAGCGCTGGCTACTGCACCGAGAGATCTGGAGGTCCAATTTCGGACAGGGCTAGACAAGGACACAGTCCAAGATGCCCTGAGCGGGAAGTCTCCATTCAGCTTTGAGAACAGTTCTCTGACCCTTTACGCTGACCTATGTGGCAGCACTCTGGCTTGGCGGAGATCCCTCAAACCTCTCACCTCACTGTTACAGAGGCAAAATATCCGCTACCAGTGGCGCCTATTTCACTCACTTATCATTCTACATGGAGAATCCATGCACACCATTCAAGACCTACAGGACGCGACTATGCTTCTGCAGACTCTAGGACTTCCACCGGATTCCCTGGCCTAACTATAGAACAACAGCTGCCATGCAGTATCTGCACTTCTGGGAACCTGCACGGACCACTGATTTCTTACCAAAGCAGGACTGTATGGTGCAGTCACCATCTGAACCCACAGACTGTTATGTTTTCTTGTTTAGTCACCAGATGCTGTTTGATCTCTAAATCTCTAGCACCGTAATTCCTCCCACACCAGACATTTCGGTCTATTCTGAATTTACAAGGTTAACCCTAGAGGAGTACAGGTACCCCTCGTTCCATTGGATAACATAATTAAATCCCTCAATTTTATTTGTATAATTTATAATTTTTTTGCTGGTAATGTCAGTCGGTGTAGCGTGAATTACCACCAGACCAGGTACTCTCCCACTGACTTACCACAATGTGACCTATACTGCTTAATCCCTGAAATGTTGTCAGCACTAGTTGCCCTCAGAGGGGTAGTGTAGGTCGTGCCACGGGCAACTGCCCCATTATCCTGCTATGTGTCGTGGACCTCTGAAACCGTCTCCTGAGGGCTATAGCGGTTTTTAAGGTGAGGCCAGTTTGGGGGCTTTTCGGGGGCGTGGTATTTTACTAGCCCTGGAACCTGGGCATGGCCCGGGCCCCCATGCTTATATGGGCGTCCCCTGAGGTTAGCATCAAATAAACAGTGACATGAGTTGTACGTCCATAACCTGTACTCAGGGTGGTATGGTTCAGGCTTGGTAAGGGATGATGTCAGGAAGCGGTGGGTGAGGGGTGGGGGAAGGAAAAAGAAGGGGAGGAAGGGGGGGATAAGAGTGATGTGAGGAAGGATAGAAAATTGAGTGGGCATGGGAGGCCCCGATAGGGTTGCTCCCTCGTGGTTCGAAAATGGGGGTCTTGATGAGTATCAGTCGGTTCCACTAAGGTGGCCCGCCTCATCCCTATTCCCACCCTCCACCTCATGATTATGCGGTTCCCCCTGGACATGTACACCCTCCAAGGGTGCCATGTCAGTGCGCATTTGTCCAAACGTTCCTGCAGGGAGGCTGTCAGCATTTCCATGCTGTAGATGTCTTCAACCTTGTCTACCCATTGCTGGAAGCAGGGCACACCCGTCCGTTTCCAATGTAAGGGAATAAGGAAATTAGCCACTGAGAGTAGGTGTATAGTGAGGGATATTTTGTAAGTCTTTAGAGGAGTGGGTGTGTGGTTCAGTAGCATCATCAGTGGAAGTATTGGTAGGTCTGTGTCTGTAATCTCCTGAGTCTTCACATTAATCATCTGAGAGTACGGGACTATGTGGGGGCATGTCCACCAAATATACAGGCATGTACCTTCAGCTGTGCTGCACCTCCAGCATTCGCCGGTTATGGAGTAGTGTGTGTGTGTGTCTGAGTGCGTCAGGGCTCCTGTACCAGTGCGTCAATAACTTGTAGCTCCTTTCCTGGTATTTCAAGCTTATGGAGCATTTGTGCATCAGAAGGAATATGTTATCACATTCCTAATCCGTGAGCTCAACCCCTGTCTCCCTTTCCTATTTGTTACATAGTTACATAGCTGAAAAGAGACTTGCGTCCATCAAGTTCAGCCTACCTCACATTTGTTTTTTGCTGTTGATCCAAAAGAAGGCAAAAAAAACCAGTTTGAAGCACAATTTTGCAACAAGCTAGGAAAAAATTCCTTCTTGACCCCAGAATGGCAGTCAGATTTATCCTTGGATCAAGCAGTTATTACCTTACATTGAAAGATTATATCCTTGAATATTCTGTTCTTGCAAGTATGCATCTAGTAGCCGTTTGAACATCTGTATGGACTCTGATAAAACCACTTCTTCAGGCAGAGAATTCCACATCCTGATTGTTCTTACAGTAAAAAAACCTTTCCTTTGCCTTAGATGAAATCTTCTTTCTTCCAGTCTAAACGCATGGCCTCGTGTCCTATGTAAAGTCCGGTTTGTGAATAGATTTCCACACAATGGTTTGTATTGGCCCTGAATATATTTGTATAATGTTATCATATCCCCTCTCAGGTGACGTTTTTCTAAACTAAATAGGTTTAAATTTGTTAAAGGACCACTATAGTGCCAGGAAAACATACTCCTCTTCCGATCCTCCTCTTCTCCTCCCCGTCGGCTGAATGCGCACGCGCGGCAAGAGCTGCGCGCGCATTCAGCCGGTCACATAGGAAAGCATTCATAATGCTTTCCTATGGACGCTTGCGTGCTCTCACTGTGAAAATCACAGTGAGAAGCACGCAAGCGCCTCTAGTGGCTGTCAATGAGACAGCCACTAGAGGAAATAGGGGAAGGCTTAACCCATTCATAAACATAGCAGTTTCTCTGAAACTGCTATGTTTATGAAAAAATGGGTTAACCCTAGCTGGACCTGGCACCCAGACCACTTCATTAAGCTGAAGTGGTCTGGGTGCCTAAATGCTTCAACCTTTCTTCATAGCCGATATGTTCCATTCCTTTTATTAATTTTGTAGCCCGCCTCTGCACTTTTTCTAGTGCCATAATATCCTTCTTTAGAACAGGTGCCCAAAATTGCACAGCATATTCAATATGGGGTCTTACCAGTGATTTATAAAGAGGCAAAATTATATTCTTGTCCCGAGAATGAATGCCCTTTTTCTTGCATGACAATACCTTACTGGCCGTGGCCACTGCTGATTGACATTGCACATTGTTGCATAGTTTGTTGTCTATAACAATTCCTAAGTCCTTTTCATGTGTTGCTATCCCTAATTCGCTTCCATTAAGGGTATACGTTGCTTGTGTATTCTTTACGCCGAAGTGCATAACTTTGCATTTTTCAACATTAAATTTCATCTGCCATTTGAGTGCCCAGTCCCCAGTCTATCTAAATCCCTCTGCAGCAAAGTAATATCTTGCTCACATTGTATTGTTTTACAAAGTTTGGTGTCATCTGCAAACACTGAAACATGACTTTCAATGCAGTCTTCAAGATCATTTATTATTATTATTATTATTGCCATTTATATAGCGCCAACAGATTCCGTAGCGCTTTACAATATTTTGAGAGGGGGGATGTAACAATAAATAGGACAATTACAAGAAAACTTACAGGAACAATAGGTTGAAGAGGACCCTGCTCAAACGAGCTTACAGACTATAGGAGGTAGGGTATTCAAAACATTAGGACATGGAATATCAAGTAGGAGTGAAGCAGAGCTGGAGGAGAGAGCAAAGCACTGTCCCATAGGAGAGAGCAGGAGACAGGTATGTAAGGTAGAGATTACTCTGGGAGGCCATAAGCTTTCCTGAAGAGATGGGTTTTAAGGCCCTTCTTAAATGATTGAAGACTAGGGGAGAGTCTGATGGCAGTAGGCAAGCTATTCCATAGGAGAGGAGCCGCCCGCGAGAGGTCCTGCAAGCGCGAGTTGGCCGTACGGGTGCGAGCAGCGGTCAGGAGGTGGTCACGGGCAGAGCGGAGGGTACGAGGAGGGGCATATCTATGGATTAGTGAAGAGATATAAGTGGGGCTAGAATTGTTCAGTGCTTTAAATGTATGGGTTAGCACTTTGAATTGACTCCTATAGCATACAGGGAGCCAATGTAAGGACTGGCAGAGGGGTGAGGTGTGAGAGGACCGACTAGAGAGGAAAATCAGTCTAGCTGCAGCATTCATTACAGACTGTAGCGGGGCAATACGGCTTTTGGGGAGACCAATCAGGAGAGGGTTACAGTAATCCATGCGGGAAATTACTAGAGCATGGACAAGCTCCTTGGTAGCATCTTGCGTAAGAAAGGGGCGAATGCGGGCTATGTTTTTGAGTTGGAACCTACAGGACTTGGCAACAAACTGGATGTGAGACTCAAAGGTGAGCCCAGAGTCAAGTATGACGCCAAGACAGCACGCTTGCAGGGATGGACTTATGTGGATATCACTGACTTGAAGGGAGAGCGAGAGAGGAGGATCAGTATTAGGAGGAGGAAAGACAAGGAGTTCAATTTTAGAGAGGTTAAGTTTCAGAAAGCGTGAGGACATCCAGTCAGAGATGGAAGAAAGGCAAGTGACACGTTGCAGGACGGCAGAGGAGAGGTCCGGGGGAGGAGAGGTATATCTGAGTGTCATCATTTATAAACATGTTAAATAGAAGGGATCCCAGAACAGACCCCTGAGGGACACCACTTGCCACCTCTGTCCAGCTTGAAAATTTACCATTAATGACAACTCTTTGTACTCTGTTTTTAAGCCAATGTTCTACCCAAGTACAAGCATTTTCATCTAGACCAGTGGTAGTCAACCTTTTTCCACTTACCGCCCACTAATGCATCTTTCTTGATGGAAAAATTTCCTTACCGCCCACCAGTTTTCGCTCAAGCGCGGAATATTTTTTAGAAAGGAGGGTGTTTTTAAAAATAAATAAATAAATGAACGTACATTTATCTTTTTATTTCTACTTTATGCATGTTTATAATGTTTTTAACTTTATAAAGTTTAATGAGGAAGCAATAAAGTAAATTGAAATTACCTTTACTAGTGATTAATGAGATCCTTGAGGTTGATGCTGCGAGACTAAATATTTGATATCTGGTTCGATTTTCATAAGGAACAAACGAAGGTCTCCTCTTTCAGTGATAATCAGAAGACTTCTTTGTTTGCTCATAAAATGATTTCTCATCTGTGCGTCAGCTCCCCTCCTCTCCCTCCTCAATTCCCCTTCCCACCTTTTTCCCCTTTTTTCTATTTTTTAACCTTACTTATAGCAATGCCCAGTAGGAAGGCTGAGCTAGGTAGCCCACTTACTATTATTAGTCAACAACAATTCTCTCCTTTTCCTTTTCTTTCCTTCTCCTTTTTTACAAGTACTCTACTCCTTCTTTCCCCTATACTAGAAGTACTCTACTCCTTCTTTCTCCTATTCTACAAGTACTCTGCACCTTCTTTCTTCTATTCTACATGTACTCTGCTCACAGACAAACACATACATTTACAGACACACACACTCACAGACAAACACTCACACATACACTTACAGACACACACACACTCACATAAAAACACATACACACAAATATACACATACTCACACATGCACTTACAGACACTCACACATACACAGACAGACCCACAGACACACACACACTTACTGACACACACACACACACACACATACACTTACAGACACACACACACACATATACTTACAGACACAGACACACATATACTTACAGACACAGACACACACACACACACACATGCACTTACAGACACACACACACACACACACGCACTTACAGACACACACACACACTTACAGACACACACACATACACTTAGAGACAAACACATATACACACAAATTATTAATATTAAATATCCACCCAGCCTCCCTACCTGGAGAGCTGGTGTGGATCTGTCCCTGGGGTCTAGTGGGGCTTCACTTAGGCGGGCGGCTAATCAGACGCAGCGAGGGAGCTCTAACCTCTCTGCTCTGCTCCCTCGTGGGCTGTCTACTGATGCCGGGAGCCGGAATATGACATCATATTCCGGCTCCCGCGGCATCAGCAAACATCGCGCGAGGGAGCAGAGCAGAGAGGTTAGAGCTCACTCGCCGCGACTGATTAGAACTCTGCCATGCCGGGGGGTCGAGAAGGTGGCCTGGCAGGAGGGAGCGCTTCCTCCTGCCGGTCACTGAAGACTTGCACATGCAGAGCCGCTCGCGCCCGCCCAAAAGGAGAAATCCTCTTAAAAAGAGGATTTAGCCTCAGAAATCCCTACCGCCCACCTGGAATCCTAAAACGCCCACTAGTGGGCGGTAGGGACCAGGTTGACGACCCATGATCTAGACCGATTTCCTTGAGTTTGAACACTAATCTATTGTGTGGAACTGTATCAAATGCCTTGGCAAAATCCAAATAGATCACATCCACGGCAACACCCTGATCTATACTTCTACTTACTTCTTCATAGAACGCAATCAAGTTAGTTTGACATGACCTGTGCTTCATAAAACCATGCTGATTTTTTTCTGATAACCATGTTCTTCTCAAGGAATTCTTGAATATTATCCCTTAATAACCTTTCAAATATTATACCAGCCACAGAAGTTAAGCTCACAGGTCTATAATTTCCAGACAAGGATTTTGAACCCTTTTTGAATATAGGAACCACATCTGCCTTCCTCCAATCCTCCAGAACACTTCCTGAAAGAAAAGAATCTTGAAAGATTAAAACAGAGGTTCACTTATTTCTGCACTTAGTTCCTTAAGTACACGTGGATGGATACCGTCAGGCCCTGGAGCTTTGTTTATATTAACTTTCTTTAGTTGCTGCAGCACCTTGTCTTGAGTTAACCAATTACAATTATTCTGCAAGTTTTTAGTAGCAATCATTTGCACATCTATTGCCATGGGTTCTTCCTTAATATATACGGAGGAGAAATAGTTTTTTAAAATTCCTGCCTTTTCCTGGTCTTCATTAACTAACACCCCCGTTTCAGTTTTTAGTGTACCTACACTTTCATTTTGTTTTGTTTTTTAAATTTATGTACTTAAAAAATGTTTTGGGGTTGGTTTTGCTCTCTTCAGCTATCATTATTTTGTTTGAAGTTTAGCAAGTCTAATTGACTTTTTGCACGCATTATTTGCATCCTTATATCTTTTATAAGATGCATCTGATTTGTCTGATTTAAATGCCCTTTTCTTAGTTGTAATCTCTTGTTTTACTTCTCTACTAAGCCACATTGGTTTTAATTTGTTTCTTTTATATTTATTTCCCAACGGTACATACTGAGAAATGTACCTTTTTAATATTTGTTGGAAGATGATCCATTTATCCTCAGTGTTCTTTTCACTAAAGAGTTTATGCCAGTCAATATATTGTAAAGCTTCCCTTAACTTATTGAAATTGGCCTTTTTAAAATTATATGTTTTAGTATTCCCAATGTGCTTTTGTTTTTTTGAGTTTATTTCAAAGGACACTATATTGTGATCACTATTTCCCAAGTGCTCACCTACTTGAATGTTGGTCAAAAGATCAACGTTGTTTGTTAAAACCAGGTCCAGACAAGCATCCATTCTAGTTGGTGCTTGTACAAGTTGTGACATGAAGGTGTCATTTAACAAGTTTAAAAACCTAATTCCCTTTGCTGAGGCACTAGTCCTTCTGTCCCAATTTATATCCGGGTAATTAAAATCTCCAATAATTAAAGTGTTACCCAGATTTGCAGCTTTCTTAATTTGCTCAAACAGCTGTTGTTCCTCGTCAATATTAACATTAGGTGGTTTATAACATATCCCAACCAATAGTTGGTTTCCCTTCTTTTCCCCAAGCAGATATTTACCCATAAAGCTTCCACATTATCCTCCTCGCATTCCATTTGCTTAACATTTGGCTTTAAATCATGTTTGACATACAAACATACCCCACCTTCCTAAATAACATGTACCCATTTAAGTTAGCTGCCCAGTCATGTGTCTCATCCCACCATGTTTCAGTTATGCCTATTATATCATATTGTTTAGTGTATGCTAATGCCTCTAATTCCCCCATTTTGTTATTTAGGCTCCTTGCATTAGTAAGCATACATTTAATATTATGCGTCACTTGTATATTTTGTGAATTTTCAACATTACACAGCTTCTCTGTTCTGCCCTTCGCCACTTGGTCCTGGAGAGGCCTGCTTGCCAGCCTCCTCCCCTGTGACTATGACTCGTTGATGTATTTGGCTTTAAAGCCCCTATTCTACCTTCATACAGACTATTTATGTAGGTTGCTTTATTTCTCTTATATTTTAGTCACCCTGTACCCATTATAGGTGCAGGGTGTGTGTAATTGTTTTGTAATAAACAATTGTAATTGTTTATAGTGTGTGTGTGTGTGTGTGTGTACTGTGAAATGTATTGCCTGCTCTCCTGTAATGCTGAGGTTTGCTACCAACTAGGTGGATTTGGCTATGGAGCTTGTCTAGTGCCCTCTGTTGGTAGCAACAGCAATATGCACTACCTGAATAGCAAGACTGGTTCATTTGCATATTCGGGTAGATTTGCATATTGCTAATTCTGCAGGCAGGTGAGATATTTTCTGTTAAATATTGTCTCACCCACCCCTTTAAAAATGTGCCATTGTGTTGTGATAAGTCACTGTGTGTTGCCTGCTATGGTCTGACTGTTTGTGATTTTATTAAGTTTTCACAGCAATGTTAATGTGGTGACCCTATAGGCTGGTCCCAAGGGAAATAAAGGTTTAGACAGTTCTTCTTGATCCCTCTAAACATAGCCTTGTCTTGTTATTGGAGCGAGCTGTTATAATCACACTGGGGATTGCTATGCTCTGCATACTCTCCTGAGCTTGAATCACTTAGCTCTTTTAAGAGCTTGTTCCTGACACGCTCTCCTTGGAGGAGAAGTCTTCCCCAGAATGGGTTAAGCCTTCCCCTTAATCCTCTAGTGGCTGTCTCATTGACAGCCACTAGAGGCGCTTGCGTGCTTCTCACTGTGATTTTCACAGTGAGAGCACGCCAGCGTCTATAGGAAAGCATTGTAAATGCTTTCCTATGCGACGGGCTGAATGCGCACGCAGCTCTTGCCGCGCGTGCACATTCAGCCGGCGGGGAGGAGAAGAGGAGGAGAGCTCTCCGCCCAGCGCTGGAAAAAGGTAAGTTTTTAAGCCTTTTCCCCTTTCCAGAGCCGGGCGGGAGGGGGTCCCTGAGGGTGGGGGCACCCTCAGGGCACTATAGTGCCAGGAAAACGAGTATGTTTTGGTCCTTTAACACATCTTAAAATTAGGAAAATACATCCTCAGATGAACAACCGCACACGATATATTATAACATTTCATGATTTATTTAACAAAAGTAAAGACAACATGCAAAATCCATGTGTGAAAAAGTAAGGATTCCTTAGTAATTAAGTATCAGTCATTGTGCTGCTAAACAAATGCCTTTGATTAACTGGTCATCAGGAAGTGTGACCACCTCTATAAATGCCAAAGTTTTTGCAGTTTGCTGGTCTGGAGCATTCAGGTGTGTATTAACAAAATAAAGAATAATGGGGAGAATTCACCTCGTACAAAGACGGGGGGATCCTCCTCAAGGCACCACCCCTAAAAAACGTGTGGAAGCTTACAGAAAAAAACAAAAATAAACTTTATTGAAAATTCAAAACACACACAATTCCCAAATAATGGGGATAAAAACCAAAATACTAGGTACTGACAAGTAAATTGGCTACCAATCACTGCCTGGTTAATTCTGTGGTAGCATGAATGGGTTTCCACAAGTGTAACAATCCTACTCATAACAGAGTTATAATTAGTAGAAACAGTGTTGCAGTGCTAGCTCACGGAATAGCGGCCTGCAGATAATCAATAGGTGCCAGAGGAGCAGTGTGCGGTGCTCCAGTAAATAAACCAGAGGGCAAATCCCCCATGATAGTCAAACCTTATCTAAATAGCCTATAATACATATATACAACTGTCCTATCTGTTAAGCAGTAGGAAATGGAAAAATCTTAAATCTCTCCAGATCCAATCAAGTGATAACCTCCTTAGAGAGGAACAACGTGCTTTAAAATCACTACAAAATGATGCCGGTATTATCATTAAACCAGCTGATAAGGGGGGGAACATCGTAGTAATGGATGGGGATAAGTATCTTGGAATGGCAGAACGAGTTCTAAGAGATGTTGAGACATATAGAGTTCTTAAGTATGATCCCACGATTGAATTGTTGTCCAAATACAAGGAGATCGTTGATGAAGGCCGCAGTGGAGGGTTGCTATCGGGTGACGAGTATGAATTTATTCTTAATCGTCACCCTAAGATAGCAACCTTCTACTGCTTGCCCAAGGTTCACAAGAACCTGGAGGAACCCCCGGGACGTCCAATTGTCTCAGGGGTCAACAACCTCACACAAAATGGCAGCCTG